TCTAATAATTTTTTATGGAGTCTTTGGGGTTTTCTATGTACAGTATCATGTCATCTGCGAATAAGGACAGTTTTATTTTTATTTTCCAATTTGGAAATGAAATAAAATGCCTTTTATTTCTTCTTGTTGTTTGACAGCAATGGCTATTACTTCCAGTACTTTGTCAAATAGGAGTGGTGAGAGTGGGCATCCCTGTCTTGTTCCTGTTCTTAGGGGAAATGGTTTGAGTTTTTGTCCATTGAGTATGATGTTGACTGTGGGTTTGTCATATATGGCTTTTATTATGTTGAGAGATGATCCTTTATTCCCACCTTGCTGAGAGTTTTTATTTAAACCAGGATGTTGGATTTTATCAAATTCTTTTTTTCGTCAATTGATGTGACTATGTGATTTTTATACCTCAATTTGTTTATGTGATTTTTCATGTTTACCCATTTGAAGACATTGTACCATCCTTGCATCCACATGATAAGTCCTGCTTTGGTGCCTGATCTTTCTGAAGTACCATTGGATCTGATTTGCTAGAATTTTGTTAAGGATTTTGGCATCTATGTTCATCATAGATATTTCTAATAGTATGCCATTCTGGTCTTAGAAAATGCTTGATATGATTTCAATCGTTTTGAATTTGGGGAGACTTTGTTTGTGATCCAATATGTGGTGTGTTTTTGAAAATGTCCCATGTGCACTTGAGAAGAATGTATATTCCTTGGCTTTGGGGTGAAATGCTCTAAAGATGTCAATTAGGTCCATCTGATCTAGTGAGTCATTTACAATTGCTGTTTCTTTGCTGATATTTTGTCTAAGTGATTTATCCAGTGATGTCAGTGGTGTATTTAAGTCTCCTACTATGATTGTATTGTTGTCGATCTCTTCTTTGATAACCTCCAGGAGTATTTATTTATTTATTTTTATTTTATTTTATTTTTTTATGTATTTGGGTGTTCCTGCATTGGGTGCATATATGTTTATCAGGGTTATATCCTCTTGTTGTATTGATCCCTTTATTATTATGAAGTGGCTTTCCTTATCTTTTGTTATGGCCTTTACTTTGAGGTCTGTTTTGTCAGAAATAAGTACTGCTACCTCAGCTTTTTTTCTTTTTTAATTTCCATTTGCCTGAAAAATGTTTTTCCATCCCTTCACTTTTAATCTGTATGAGTCTTTTTTTCTGAGGTGGGCCTCTTTTAGAGAGCATATATATGGGTTGTGTTTGTTTTTTGTTTTTTTTTCTCCATTCAGCCACTTGATGTCTTTTGATTGGAGCATTTAGTCCATTTACTTTTAAAGTTATTATTGAAAGGTACTTTTATTTTTTGACTGTGTTCCTTCTTACCTTTTTATCTCTTCTTTTTACACCTGTACCTTTAGTATTTCTTGCATTGCTGGCTTGGTAGTCATAAACTCCCTTAGCATTTTTTTGTCTGTGAAACTCCTTATTTTCTCTTCAATTTTGAATGATAGCCTTGCTAGATAGAATATTCTTGGATTCAGTCCCTTGGTTTGCATCACTTTGTAGATTTCCTTCCATTCTTTTCTGGCCTGATTTATTTCTGTTGAGAAATCATTTGATAATCTAATGGGAGTTCCCTTGTATGTAACTTTCTGTCTCTCTCTTGCAGCCTTTATGATTCTCTCTTTTCCTGGATATTTGCCATCGTAATTATGATGTGTCTTGGTGGTGGTCTTTTTGGGTTCATCCTATTTGGGACTCTCTGAGCTTGTGTGACTTTTTTTCTTTGCCACATCAGGGAAGTTTTCTGACATTATTTCTTTAAATAGTTATTTTAACTCTTGTTCTTCTCCCTATTATTCTGGCACCCCTATTATTCATATGTTGCTTTGTTTCATGTTGCCCCATAGCTCCCTTAGGCTCTCCTCCTGTCTTTTAATCCCCCCCCCCCCCAATTGCAATTCAATTTGGCTGTGTTATGCTTCCCTGTTTTCTAGTTCACTAATTCGGTCCTCCGCTTCTAGTCTACTGTTGAAACTTTACATGTTTTATTTTTTTTATTTTTATTGCAGCTATATCACTCTTCATTTCTTCTTGATTATTAAATAAGCTGTTGATTTTTTTCATCCATTTCTTCTTGAGTCTTGCATAAGGTATTTTTTTCTTCCATCCGATTTATGAACTCTATCATTCTTATTCTGAATTCTTTTTCTGACACATTGCATGCCTCTGTTTCACTTAGCTGCTTTTCTGGCATTTCCTCCTTTTCTTTCGGGGGTATCTTTACCCATTTTTGGTTTCATCAACTGATCTAGATGTTGAGCTTTGCAGGGGCTACTGCTTGGGTGGCAGTAGCTTCTCTGTCTGTAGTTGCTCCTTGGGTGATTACAGTAGCAGCTGCTTCTCAGTTGACAGTCTTTCCTCTGGTGAGTGCTGTTTGCAATAGTGTTGCTTCCTCTGGCTTGTGGGGGAGTCTACTTGGACATGGTTGGGATAATTATGAGGTTGCTGTGAAACTGACTGCTCCCACAGCTTCTGCTCCTTGGACAGGGGCAGACCACATGAAGCTGCTGCTCTTAGGCCTGTGGCAGGTTGCTTGCAGGTCTGATGCTCCTTGGACAGAAGCAGGCTGCTCACATGTCTGCTGTTCACATGGTTGAAGTGCCCTGGGCTAAAGCGTTGGGCCGGTCAGAGGGGAACATGCTTCCGAATTCATAGGAGCCTGCTCTCTGGAAAGCTGGAGCCTTGTTGACCACGGGATCATACCCTTGGTAGCATGTTTCTGGCAGGGGTGGCTGTATAATCCCAGGTTTTATTTGAGGGCACTCTGGTTGGAGTTGAGGTTGTGAACCCAGTTACAGCAGCTCTCCCCTTAGGACAAGCTGGCCTCCTGGTACTGTTTGCAATAGTATCAGAAGCTTCCTAGTTGAGTAAGCCTGATTAGCCTGCCCTTGAAGGTCCTGACTCACTCACACACACATACCCCACTTGACCACACACTCTTCTTTTACTCCCTCCCTCACTCATGCTGTTTCCATCACTGCTGCATTATTTCTGCCTCTATAGTTGGGTCTGAGATGTTGTTGACCCTTTTGTGGATAGAGTTTCCTCTCCAGGTGTCTGGTTATGTGACTTTCTCTCAAGCCCCTTGGCCTGAATGGATAAAATACACTTCAACAAGACACAACACCGAGGGAGCTAAGCACAAATGTACTCACAACACCAATAACCTCAATATAAATGACCCCCTGAGAAAAGAGAGATGGGGCAGATAAAAGAGAGCACAAATGCTATGGAATAGAGAGAAAAAGATATGGGATAAAAGACAAAGAAATAAGAGTATAGGGGCAGAATCTGTAGAGGTTGAGCTTATATAGTGCAAATAAGATTGAGGGTTGGATGAATATGGGGAAGACCTCAATTTAGTATTGAGTAAATATAAAGGGAATAAGTGGATGGGAGGAAAGAGAATGAGAAGAAAAAATAATAAATTTACAAAAAGAAATTGATTTAAAAAATTGTATAAAAATTAAAAATAGCAAATAAAAATAGTGAAGAAAAATAATGCAAACAGAAATTTAAAAAAGCACCAAACCAAAACAGGAAAAGAAGAAAGAAAGAAAGAAAGAAAGAAAGAAAGAAAGAAAGAAAGAGCAAGAAATAAAGAAAGAAAAAAGGGATAATAAAAATAAAATGAAAAAAAAGTGATGTCTTTCTTTGTCTGGCTTATGATTCCATTTGTCTGTACTATTCTGTTTGTCAGTTTCCTGTTGCTGGGGCTAAAGATTACTCTTTAGGCCCTTTCTATGTTCTCAGAGAGTATTCAGATTCCTAGTATTATTCTAGGTGTGGTAATATTGGTTGCCTGGATACTGGAGGGAGGGGCTATCTCTTAGGAGAAAATGGCAACTGGGGCCTAGATGACTCAGGACTAGACCCGCCACCCTGGACCGCTATCTACTCTCCCCAGATTCCACAAGCCCACACCTTCTCCTGCCCCTCAGCCACGGGTAAGTGTCTGTATCTTAAAGGTCCCATGAACCAGGTTCAGTGGGGAAAGGCACAGGCCCCAGCACAAGGAGGAACCGCATCCCCACGAGTTCCTCTCTTGCTGGCACTGCGTGGTCTGGCTAGCCTTTCAGAGCTTTCTCAGCTCAGATCCAAAATCCAGATTCCAAGGTCCAAAATCCCCTACCTCCCTCAATCCCGTGGTCCCCCCCCCCCCCCCCCCCCCCCAGACTGATGCTTTGCCTGTCCTCAGGGACACAGCCAGTCACCCTGTAGATTCTCCTTGCCCCTCTGGCCACAGAGGCTCAGCAGATTATCCTGCCTAGATTCTTGATTTTACCTTTTTCCAGGGACTTTTGCCCTATCTCACTAGCTGTGTATCTTCGCCAAATTCGGGCTGAATTCCACTCATTTTAGCTGCTCCCTCTACACACTCCGGGACAAGGCTCAGGACACATCTGTCTATTCCACTGCCATCTTTTAATCTTGCTTCAATTTCTTCCATAGTTATCAGCCTATTGAGGTTTTTAGAATCTTCCTGATTGAGTTTTGGAAGGTTGTGTTTTTCTAGGAATATGTTCATTTCCTTCAGGTTGTCCAGTTTTTTAGAATAGAGTTGTTCATATTAGTTTTTTTTTTAACAATCCTTTGTATTTCAGTGGAGTCTGTTCTTATTTCACCTCTTTCATTTCTGATTTTGTTTATTTGGGTCCTCTATATTTGCTCCTTGGTGAGCCTGGCTAAAGGTTGATCAATCTTGTTTATCCTTTCAAAGAACCAACTCTTGGTTTCATTGATCTTTTATAATTTTTGTGTTTTATTTTTTATTTTTGTCTCTGTCATTTATTTTTGTTCTGATCTTTATTATATCCCTCCTTCTGCACACTATCAACTGTTCTAGTTTCTCTATTCTTAATTCTTTGAGTTGTAGAGTTAGATGACTTACTACCATTATTTATTTATTTATTTATTTATTTATTTATTTATTTATTTATTTGTAGGCCTGTAGAGCTATAAACTTCCCTCTCAGGAAGTTTCCCATAGACTTTGGATTGTTTTGTTTTTTATTGTATTAATTTACAGGATGTTTTTAATTTCTTCTTTGATCTCAATGGTAACCCAATCAATATTTAATTTCATGATACTCAGCTTCCAAGTGTTTGAATGTTTTTATTGTAGTTTATTTCTAATATACTATTTTGGTCTGAGAAGATGGTTGGTATGATACTGGAAGGAGATTGTAATCTTCTTGAATTTGGGGAGACTTGACTGTATCCCAGTATGTGGTCTATTTTGGAAAATGTTCCATGTGCGCTGAAACCAGTTTGGATCAGTGAATAGAGTGTCAGCCTGTGGACTGAAGGGTCCCAGGTTTGGTTCCGGTCAAGGGCATGTACCTTGGTTGCGGGCACATCCCAGTGGGAGTGTGTGCAAGAGGCGGCTGGTGGATGTTTCTCTCTCATCAATGTTTCTAACTCTCTATCTCTCTCCCTTCCTCTCTGTAAAAAATCGATAAAATATATTTTAAAAAATAAAAAGAAAACGTCCCATGTGCACTTGAGAAGAACATATATTTTGTGGCTTTGGGGTGAAATTATCTGAATATGTCAATTAAGTCTATCTGATCTGATGAATCATTTAGGATTGCTGTTTTCTTGCCTATTTTTTGTCTAGAGCGGTGGTCAGCAAACTGTAGTCCATGAGCCACATGTGGCTTGTGAGCTGTGGTTTGCTGCTCTGTTGACTAATGAGTTTGCTGACACTGACCTAGACTCTTGAACTCAATAATTACAAACTGTTGTTGTTCCTTGTGGTTAAGCTCCTATCCCAGTGGTCTGCAAACTCATTAGTCAACAGAGCGTCAAACTGCAGCTCACGAGCAGCATGTGGCTTGTGAGCCAAAGTTTGCTGACCACTGGTCTAGAGGATTTATTCAATGATGTCAGTGGTGTATTAAAGTCCTGTATTATGATTGTATTGTTGTAGATATCTCCCTTGATACCTTTCAGGATATATATATATATGTTTGGGTGCTCCTGCATTAGGTGCATATATGTTTACCAGGGTTATATCCTCTTATTGTATCAGTCTCTTTAATATTATGAAACAACCTTCTTTATTTCTTGTTATAGCCTTCACTTTGAGGTCTATTTTGTCAGGTATAAGTATTGAAACCTTTTTGTTTCATTTCCATTTCCCTGAAATATATTTTTCCATCTCTTTACTTTCAGTTTGTGTAAGTCTGTTGTTCTGAGGTGGATCTCTTGTAGACAGCCTATATATAGATCTTCCCCCCCCCACCCCCATTCAGCCACTTGATGTCTTTTTTTTTCTTTTCTTTTTTCACCCATTTTTTGTTTGTTAAGGTATTATATGTGTACATATCTTACCATTTCCCCCCACACACCCCACTCCTATACATGCCCTCACCCACTAGTGTTTTGTGTCCATTGGTTATGCTTATATGCATGCATACAAGTCCTTCGATTGATCTCTTATCTTTCCCACCTCTTTCTAAACTTCCTGCTGTAGTTTGACAGTCTGTTTGATGCTTTACTACCTCTGTAGCTATCTTTTTGTTCATCAGTTTATAATGTTCTTTATTATCCACAAATGAGTGAGATCATGTGGTATTTTTCTTTCATTGACTGGCATATTTCACTTAGCATAATGTTCTCCAATTCCATCCAGGTTACTGCAAATGGTAAAAATTCCCTCTTTTTAATGGCAGCATAGTATTCCATTGTGTAGATGTACCATAGTTTTCTGATCCAGTCATCTTATGATGGGCACCTGGACTGTTTCCAAATCTTAGCTATTGTAAATTGTGCTGCTATAAACATAGGGGTGCATATACCCTTTCTAATTGGTGTTTCTAGTTTCTTGGGATATAGTCCTAGAAGTGGGATTACTGGGTCAAATCAGAGTTCCATTTTAATTTTTTTTTTGAGGAAACCCCATACTGTTCTCCACAGTGCCTGCACCCAGACTGCATTCCCACCAGCAGTGCACAAGGGTTCCTTTTTCTCCCCATCCTCACCAACACTTGTCGTTTGTTGATTTGTTGATAGCCATTCTGACAGGTGTGAGATGGTACTGCATTGTCATTTTGATTTGTATCTCTCAGATAATTAACGATTTTGAGCATGTTTTCATGTGTCTCTTAGCCTTTCTTCTGTCTTCTTTCAAAAATATTCTATTTAGGTCAGTTGCCCATTTTTTTATTGGATCATTTATCTTCCTTTTATTAAGTTGTATAAGTTGCCTGTATTTGTTGGAGATTAAACCTTTATCAGTGATAACATTTGCAAATATGTTTTCCCATACAGTGGGGTTTCTTGTTTTTTTGTTGATAGTTTCTTTTTCTGTGAAAAAGCTTTTATTTTGATGTAGTCCCATTTGTTTATTTTCTCTTTAGTTTCCATTGCCCTAGGAGTAGTATCAGTAAAGAAATTCTTTCGGCATATGTCTAAGATTTTGCTGCCTGTGGATTCCTCTAGTATTTTTATGGTTTCCATATGGTCTTATGTTTAAGTCTTGTATCCATTTTGAGTTTATTTTTGTGTATGGTGTAGTTGGTGACCTAGTTTCATTTTTCCTATGTATCTGTCCAATTTTCCCAGCACCATTTATTGAAGAGACTGTCTTGACTCCATTGTATGTTCATGCCTGCTTTGTCAAATATTATTTGAGCATAGTGGTTTTGGTCCATAACTGGATTCTCTATTCTATTCCATTGGTTGTATGTCTGTTCTTGTGCCAGTACCAGGCTCTTTTGAGAATAGTGGCTTTGTAATACAGCTTGATATCTGGTATTGAGCTCTCATCTACATTGTTCTTTCTCAGGATTGCTGCAGCTATTTGGAGTCTTTTTTTAATCCACATGAATTTTTGGAGAGTTCTTTCTAGGTCTGTGAAATATGCAATTGGTATTTCAATGGGCAGTACATTGAATCTATAGATTGCTTTGGATAGTATGTACATTTTAATGATGTTGATTCTACCAATCCATGAACACAGTATGTACTTTTATCTGTTTACATCTTCCTCTATCTTTTTTTTCAGTGTCTTGTAGTTTTCTGCATAAAGGTCTTTTACCTCCTTGGTTAAATTTATTTCTAGCTATCTTAATTTTTTTAGTGCTATGGTAAATGGGATTGCTTTTTTAGTCTCTTTTTCTGGTAAGTTCACTCTTGGTGTAAAGAAATGCCATAGATTTCATGGCATTAATTTTGTATTCTGCTACATTGATGAATTTATTTATTAAGTCTATTAGTTTTTTGATGGAGTCTTCTGGTTTTTTTTATGTACAATATCATGTCATCTGCAAATAAGGACAGCTTTACTTCTTCTTTTCCAATATGGATGCCCTTTATTTCTTTTTCTTGTCTAATCGCAATGGCTAGTACTTCCAGTACTATGTCAAACAGGCGTGGTGAGAGTGGGCATCCCTATCTTGTTCCTGTTCTTAGGGCAAATGGTTTTAGTTTTTGCCCATTGAGTATGATGTTAGCTGAGGGTTTATCATATATAGCTTTTATTATGTTGAATCCTTCTATTCTCACCTTGTTGGATTTTGTTAACTGCTTTTTCTGCATCAATTGATATGACTATGTGATTTTTTCTCTCAGTTTGTTTATATTATGTATCATGTTTATTAATTTGTAGATATTATACCATCCTTGCATTCCTGTGATAGATCCTATTTGGTCATGGTGTATGATCTTTCTGATGTACTGCTGGATTCGGTTTACTAGAATTTTATTGAGGATTTTGGCATCTATGTTAATGAGGGATATTATCCTATATTTCTCTTTCATTGTGTTGTCTTTATCTGGATTTGTTATTCGGGTAATGCTGGCTTCATAGAAGGTGCTTGGAAGTGTTCCTCTTGAATTTTTTGGAACAGTCTGAGATAGATAGGTTTTAGTTCTTCCTCTGAAGCTGTTTGGCCTATTGAGCTGTTTAGATTCTTCCTGAATGAGTTTTGGAAGGTTATATTTCTCTAGGAATATGTCCATTTCCTTCAGGTTGTCCAATTTGTTGGAATAAAATTGTTCATACTATTTTTTAAACAATCCTTTCTATTTCTGTGGGGTCTTGTTATTTCATCTCTTTCATTTTTGTTTTTGTTTATTTGGGTCCTCTCTCTTTGCTTCTTTTAAAAAAATATATTTTATTGATTTTTTACAGAGAGGAAGGGAGAGAGATAGAGAGCTAGAAACGTCAATGAGAGAGAAACATCGACCAGTTGCCTCTTCCATACCCCCTACTGGGGATGTGCCCACAACCACGGTACATGCCATTGACCGGAATCGAACCCAGGACCTTTCAGTCTGCAGACTGATGCTCTACCACTGAGCCAAACCAGTTTCAGCTCTCTTTGCTTCTTGGTGAGCCTGGTTAAAGGTTCATCAATCTTGTTTCTCCTTTCAAAGAACCAGCTCTTGTTTTCTTGATCTTTTGTATTGTTTCTTTGGTCTCTAGGTCATTTATCTCCACTCTGATCTTTATTATTTCTTTCCTTCTGCTTACACTGAGCTTTTCTTCTTGCTTTCTTTCTAACTCTTTCAGTTGTATGGTTAGGTAATTTATTACCATTGTTTCTTGTTTTTTACAGTAGGCATATAGAGCTATGAACTTCTCTCTCAAGACTGCTTTCACTGTGTCACATAGATTTTTGGATTGTTGTGTTTTCCTTGTCATTTGTTGCCATGATTCTTTGTATTTCTTCCTGTATCTCTCTGGTAATCCAGTCATTTTTCAATAGCATGCTGTTTATTCTCCATGTGTTTGATTTTTTTGGAAAGTTTTTATTGTAGTTGATTTCCAATTTTATGCTTTTCTGCATCTATTGATATGATCATGTGATTTAAAATATATACATTTATTGATTGTATATTGATTTATTTATTGATTTCAGAGAGAAAGGGAAAGAGATAGAAACATCAATGATGAGAAAGAATCGTTGATAAACTGCCTCCTGCATGCCCACACTGGGGATCAAGTCTGCAACCCAGGCACATGCCCTGCCTGGGAACTGAATGGTGACCTCCTGGTTCATGGGTTGATGCTCAACCACTGAGCCAGGCCAGCCAGGAAGATCATGTGTTTTTATGTTTTATTTTATTTACTAGAGGCCTGGTGCATGAAATTTGTGCACAGAGGGGAGATGTACCTCAGCCCAGCATTCACCCTCTCCAATCTGGTACCCCTCGAGGGTTGTTTGACTGCCCATTTAGGCTTGATTCTGGTGGGATTAGGCTTAAATGGGCAGTCAGACATTCCTCTCACAATCCAGAACTGCTGGCTCCCAACTGCTTGCCTGCTTGCCTTCTGATTGCCACTAACCGCTTCTGCCTGCCAGCCTGATCACACCCTAACCATTCCCCTGCCAGCCTGATTGATGCCTAACTGCTCCCCTCCCAGCCTGTTTGTCCCCAACTTCCTTCCTCTGCTGGCCTGGTCACTCCTAACTACCCTCCCCTGCAGGGTTGATCACCTCTCAACTGCTCTCCCTTGCAGGTCTAGTGCCTCCCAACTGTCCTCTCCTGCTGGCCATCTTGTGGTGGCCATTTTGTGTCCACATGGGGGCAGGTTCTTTGACAACATGGGGGCAGCCATCTTGTATATTAGAGTGATGGTCAATCTGCATATTACTCTTTTATTAGATAGGACAGAGGCCTGGTGCATGGGTGGGGGCCAGCTGGTTTTCCCTGAAAGGTGTCCCGGATCAGGATGGGGGTTCCCTTGGGGCATGGGGTGACCTGGCCAAGGGGCATGTGGTGGTTTGCAGGCCAACCACATCCCCTGGCAACCCAAGTGAAGGCCCTGGTATCTGGAATTTATTTACCTTCTATAATTGAAACTTTGTAGCCTAGAGTGGAACCAACCTTCTGCTTGCTCCGTGGCTGCTGCCAATTCTTTTTGGATTTGTTTACCTTCTATAATTGAAACTTTGTATCCTTAAATGGAGGCTTAGGCCAGCAAGGGCAGGTAGAAAGCTTGGCTTCTTCTGTTGATTGGGAAACCCAAGCCTCCCTCCTGTTCTCTGTGGCTGTAGCCATCTTGGTTGGGTTTATTTGCATACTTTCTCTGATTGGCTGGTGGGTGGTGGGCATGGCTTATGAGTGTAGTGGAGTGATGGTTAATTTGCATATTACTCTTTTATTAGGTAGGATGTGATATATCATATTTATATTTATTTTCAAATATTGTACCAAACATGTATTTTTAGAATAAATCCCACAAGATTATGTTGAATGGTGTTTTTAATATATTGTTAGATTCAATTAGTTAATATTTTGTTGAGAATTTTAGTATCTATGTTCATCAGAGATATTGGACTATACTTTTCATTTTTGTAGCATCTTTATCTGATTTTGGAATTAGGATATAAGTTGCCTCATAGAAAGAGTTTAAAAGTGTACCTTCTTCTAGATTTAAAAAAACAATAATTTGAAGAGAATAGATTTTACTTCCTCTTTGAATGTGTACTAAAATTTGTCCATGAAGCCATCTGTTCCAGAACTTTTGTTTACTGGGAGTTTTTTATTGCTGCTTTAATTTTATTAGTAGTTATCAGTCTTGGGTTTTCTGAATCTTTCTGATTGAGTTTTGGAAGATTATATGTTTCTAGGAATTTGTTCATATTGTATATTTCTAGAAATTTGCCCATTTTACTCAGGTTATCCAATTTATGGCTCAAAGTATTCTTTTATAATTGTTTGCATTTCTGTGATGTCAGTTGTTCTCTTTCATTTCTGATTTTATTTATTTGGACCCTTTTTTTTTGTTATTCTCAGATGAATCTGGTTAAAGGTTTACCAATTTTATTTTATCTTTGTTGTTAATCATCACCAAGAGATATTTTTCCATTGCTTTTTCAGAGTGGAAAGGAGAGAGGGAGGAGAGAGAGAGAGAAGGAGAGAGAGAGGGAAGGGGAGGGGAAGGAGAGGGGAGGGGAGGGAGAAAGGGAGGAGAGGGGAGGGAAGAGGGGAGAGGAGAGGGAGGGGAGGGGAGAGGAGAGGGAGAGGATGGGAGAGGAGGGGAGGAGAGTGGGAAAGGAGGGAAAGGGAGGGGAGAGGAGGAAAGAAAAGGAGAAGGGATGAGAGGGGAGGGGAGAGGAGGGGAAAGGAGGGGAGGAGAGTAGAGGGAATGGGAGGGGAGAGGAGGGCAGGAGAGTGGGAGGGGAGGGAAGGGGAGGGGAGAGGAAGAGAGGAGAGGAGAGACACATTGACTGGTTGCTTCTTGCATGCACTGGGGGTGGGGAGTGAATGTGCCCCCCAGGTATGTACCTTTGACTTGGAATAAAACCAATGGCCCTTTGTCTGCAGGCCAATGCTCTATCCTGCCACTTAACCAAACCAGTCAGGGCTTGTTTATCTTTTTAAAGAAGCAACTCTTTGTTTCATCAATCTTTTGTATTGTTTCTTTAGTCTCTATGTCATTTATTTCCATTCTTTATCCCCCCCCCCCCCCTTATTTATTCTGGGCTTTTCTTGCCTTTTTTTTTTTTTTTTTTTTTTTTTTTTTTTTTTTTGTAATTCTTTTAGGTGCATAGGTAGATTTTTGATTTGAGATTTTTCTTGTTTTTGAGGTAGGCCTACTAGCATAATACTATGAGCTCCCATCACAGAACTTCTTTTGCTGTGTCCCCCAGATTTTGGGGTTTGTGTGTTCATTTTCATTTGTTTCTAGGTAGTTTTTGATTTCTTCTTTGATCTCGCTGATTACCCATTAATTGTTTAACAACATGCTATTTAACCTCCATGTATTTGAATTTTGTTTTAGTTTTTTTAGTAGTCAACTTCTAGTTTAATGCCATTTTGATACCAGAAGATGCTTGATATCAATTCAGTCTTCTTGAATTTGTTAAGACTTATTTTGTGTCCTAACATGTCAGTCATCTATCTTTGAGAATGTTTCATGTGCACTAGCAGGAAATGTATATTCTGCTGTTTTGGGATGATACATTCTATAAATATCAGTTAAATCCATCTAATCTAGTGTCTCATTTAAGGTTTATTTTTTGTTTTTGTTTGGAAAGCCTGTCCATTGATGATAGTGAGGTGTTAAAGTACCCTAATATGACTCTATTGCTCTCCACCAAACCTTTTTTTAAATAAATATATTTAGTTCTATATTGAGTGCATATATGTTTACAACAGTTATTTCCTTCTTTTTGATTGATCCCTTTTGTATTATGTAGTGGCCTTTTTTGTATATTTTAGGTCCTTTGTTTTGAAGTATCTTTTGTTAACTATAATTATTGCTATCACAGCTTTGTTTTCATTTTCATGGACTAGTTTTCTCCATCTCTTCACTTTCAACCTTTGTAAATCTTTAGCTCTGAGAGAATGGTTCTCAACCTTTCTAATGCCACAACCCTTTAATACAGTTCCTCATGTTGGGGTAACCTCCAACCATAAAATTGTTTTCTATGAAGTTGCTACTTCATAACTGTAATTTCGCTACTGTTTTGAATTGTAATGTAAATATCTGTGTTTTCTGATGGTCTTAGGCTCTACAGCAATGGTTCTCTAACAGGGTTGCCTGTAACCAGTAGGAGGGTGAGTAGGTACTTTCTATTCTTAGAGCACCATGATCTGAACTCACAGGGGAGTTCAGATCCCCTTCCCCACAATGCAGTCACAGAGCCCAGCATTCTCTTATGTGGCTCCCACATATAATTTTCCCTGAGAGATACAGTTTGCAGCTTCACAGCAGCCCCCACACCATCAAACTGAACAGCAGGGTGGAGCAGGGGTGGGTGGAGCAAAAATCAGCACTGTGTGGCATTCTGATCTCTCTGCATGGCTGGTTTCAATAGGCAAGACAAAAGTTCCTAGCCTCACTCTGGCTCCTAACCTGGCAGAATGAACCAAAATTGTGGCTTCACTGCAAATCCAGCTGTATGGGCCAAAGGTTCCAGTCATGCACCATTCTCCTGTTCTGCCAAACACAGCAGGACAAGGCAGGACAAGCATTTTGACAGGTGAGGAGAGGGCTCTTATTGTACACTCAGTGTGGAAGAGATATTTCCTTCTACCAAGCCACACAGTGTAGTGACTGACTGGGTTTCTGTCCAAAGCCTTTCCACATAACAGTGGGCCTCTCAAAATCATTGTTAAGTGTAGCCAGCAGACCCCTCCAGCAATTAGTGATCAGAGCAAATTATTCAGGCTGCTACTACAACAATGGGAGTGTGCTCCTTTTCTGGAATGATGTGGTCTGTTTCTCCCAGGCAGAGAGAATCTCCACTGATTCCCATCACCCAGTTCTATGCAGGCTCCTCCTCCAATCTTAGTTGCTCTTGGTTGGGGTTCCTGCATGAGTTTGAGGCCCCATAATCCTAGAGGTAGGAATTTCTGCAAGTCTGATATTCCTCAAGCTTCTCAGTTATCCCTGCTCTCCATTTCCAAGCTCTGCTTCTTTTACTAGTTTCTATGTGTCTTCTTCTGTGCTCTTTGGTTATAATATTTCAGATCAGGTATATATCAATTTGTTTTTCAAGCTGATTGCTTTATAATTTAGTTGCACATCTGATACATAGCTAGAAGCAAGTAGACACAGCTTCCAATTACTATGCAGCCTTCTTAGAATCCAAATCTTACTAATTCTTTCTTTCATTTGGTCGACTCTATTTCCTATACTTGCTAGCTCATTCTTTATATTTTTTACTGCATTTATTATCTCCAAAATTTCCATTTAATTCATTTCAAATTTTCAATCTCTTTAATAAAGTACTCATTGTGTATGTTGATTTAATTTCTGAGTTCATTAAACTGTTTCTTTGTTTTCTTGTATCTTATTTAGTTCTTTATATGTTTCTGTATTTT